CCTTCACCCTGGATGCTTATTGTTTTATTTCATATTCGTTTCCCCACCCTATAGTACGAGTCTGTGTCTGCAGCACCTCCCATTTCCCTTGAGACGGGGCAGCAATGGCTCGATGATGAGTGTGTTCTCTGATTGAGGGCCTTTCTAGTGTACTTCTACACACACAACTCAAGTGAAAACACAAACACAGTGCCAGTAAGGGCAGTGGAAAAGCGACATATTCAGATGAGGTCCGGTCCAAAAACACATCATGTTTTCCTGGAAAGGCAGCGAGTGAGAAGGTGCCTGTCTGCTCTTTTACCACTTAACAAGTGTAGGCAGAAGGGAGCTGCTCACTGTGGTGGTTTTCCCCATGGCAGAACATGCTGACTTGTGAAAACAAAGTCTGCAGACTCAAACTGAAGCCATTACGTTTGGTGAGCTTATTGAACAAGATCTTGCTGAACAGCTGTGCTTTGGTGTACTTTATTTATCTTCACTTTCAGAGATTTGCAGTGTGTGGCTCACCACCGTAAGATTATGAGGATTGAGAGTGAAAGCGGAGTCATTTAGAGAGGGGTTAAAGATCCTCTTTAGACATCATCTTTATCAGCTCTGTGGTAGATTACATGGACTGTTGCTCTCTGACTGTTGTATCAAGCAGATATGTTAGGATTTACAGAGACTAATATCATGTGCTTCTTCTCCCCTGCCTTTGGAAATAGGAATCACAGGAACAGACAATAGCATGCTTTGTGTGATCTGTTTGTCTCTGTGTTCTCTTTCCACATCTGCCGGTCATACAGTAAACCTCGTGTCTCCATCCACAGCCTGGAAATTAAGGCGCTGGTTGGGATTAACCTTTACTTATCCAAACACAGCTCACTGAGAATGCACGCACTTTTACTGCAACGCTCCACTTCACATTTACACTGAAAACCACAGTCTTCCATAGAAGGTTTTTAGGTGTGGTCATGTGCTCGGTGCCGTATTAAAGTTAATTTAAGTTCTGTTTTTAGCAACAATGGCTCAAAACAGCTGATTACAGCACTACTATTCAGTAGGGCTGAGTGATATGGTGATATATACCATAAATTGAGCAGGACTGCTTTATGGTAGTTTTGTGGTTTGAAAAATTGGTGCATCACTGTGATGATTTGTCAGGCATTTAGGGATATTTCTAATGCGACTATATTAGAATTAGTCTAGTGCCATAGTTTGGAAAGAGGCATGCTACACACAGCTAGTTGCTTTATCTTACTGGATAAGCCAATTAGGTTTCTTTATATAAATGTTTTTCAGCTGAATTTCCAGATATCCAGTTCAGAATTTCAAGTGTATATCACAATAAGGGCTAGAGAACTATTTATTTGACTGTTATCTGTATATCTATATGCAGTGACTTTCTGCTTCAACCTAAGCATATGGCTGCAACTGTCATTTCCTGTTCAAGTCATATGGCAAGTAACAAACAGTTTTACCTTTTCAATACATTACACTACTAATTTTGCCTTCTTGGGAGTAAACAATGAACTATCTATCAATCTATTTTATTTAAGTTACATTAACTGAACTGACTTAAGTGACATTTTTGAGTTTTGTGTTAGAATCCAAAGCTTAAAACATTCAAAAAACAAGACAGATGACTGCAATACAGGATTGTTTGCCACTCAGCAGTATTAATGTTATACTCAAGTGCGAACAGTGTGCTGCAGACTGCCCATGGCACCTTCTGTACAGAAGCTCTTTGAGTTTTCGGGAAGGACCCTGATTTTTGCCAAATGACCTAAAGATGCAAACATGTAAATTATTTTATTTATGACACTTAACTGTCCTCTAGGCTACCACTGTTCCCTTGTATGCCAGTTTCTCTACAAGCATAATGTTTTTATTCTTAGTAAAAGTGTTTTTGATAATAGCGTGTTAAGTCTTTGCTTTATGTGTAACTGTAAAGCAACATCTAAAGGAGTTTCCACGGAAGTCAGGGTTCAGAAATAGCTTGTTTCTTTTTTAGTGTCGACCCAGGCCCGTTTTTGGAAAAACCTTAATCACATGTGTAAGGCGCTGCTTTAAGAAGCTTTTTTTCATCGTTTCCTTGTTTAGACATGCTCAATTGCTCTGTATGCTAGATCACAGTATGTTTCAGATGTGGTCTTGCATATCCAGGGACGCTCTCTCTTAAGAGCTGAGGGGTTACAGAGCAGAGCTGTGATCCAGGCTGCCTACACAGCTTTTTCCCAGGCCTAGAGCCCCAGAAATAGAGTTTGACTTTCTCTCCCCTGCAGTGAACCAAAGTTTCCCACTCTTCCACAGAGCTTGGGGTCCCAGCTGAGTTAACCATGTGCAAAACTGATAACCAGCTGCCAATACATTCCTTCGATAATTTGACTATAAACATGAATAAAACTGCATCTGTCACCTTATATACTGTATGCAAAGTACGTATTTTAAGTCAGGGAGGTATATGCATTGATGTTATTTTCATTCTACATGAAGAAGCTCATTAAAGATAAGCTGTCGCTGTGAAAAGACGCATTGAAGGATATTAATGGATCTGAAATGACCAAAAATGACTAAAACCAGAAAGTTGTTGAATAGTTAATGCTGCTAAAGCTATTTAAAATTAGCGGTCACATTTTATTTAAGTCACATTTGTAAGTAACTGAATAATCGAAATATGGAAAATATAATCTTTGTTGTACATGACAAAATTCCATTCCCAACATTAAGAGTAAACGTGCTGTGGTGCTTTGGGGGGCTGATAGACATTCCTCACGTCATTTACTGTAAAGCAGCTATAAGGAACTTTGTGTTGATTCTGGTGGCCCCAGTTTGTCTGATCTTGAGGGGAATCCGACTGAATCCGACCCGGTGGCAGGCTGCAACCATAGCGTGAATAACTACATAGAAATAGTCTTGTTTGTTTTATGTAGAGGCGTCAGTATTAAATTGAGACTGTTTCATAACCAGTTAGAAAGAAGATAAAAAAACTAAAATTTAGATTTTTTTTCACCCAAAACATCTGAGCAGCAATTTAAACAAACAAAGCCTCACTTCCTTTGCCTGTGCTGTTGTGACTAGCATGGCTCTCCGATGGAGGCATTTGTTTTTGAAGGACAGGAAAGAGTTAAACAATTAGAGGTTACAAAATAATGGTGTGGAGAGTGGGTGGTCCCTGATGATTACTATTTATCACGGATGAGAAAAGAGAACTCAGGAAAAGGGTTGGGATGTGGATTAGGACACAGAGACGGCACAGAGAAGCGTAAGCAGAGGCACTTCGGGGCTAGCTGATGCTGTAATACATTTGGGTGGAGGCAGCAAGGTGGTGAGGTCATGTTGAGAACAAGGGGAAAAAGGAAAATAAAGCGTGTGATTAAAATGTGGAATGTGTGTATCTGTGAAGCCTGGGAGATCCATGTTTCCATGGGCTACGGCTCAAACTGCAGAGAGTGAGGGAACTGAGTGTGCACACCCAGGAAATGTGACAGAATTGGCAGCTGCGAGGAGAGGCATGAGCTTTTTAGTGGTCAATAAAAGTAGGATGGAAATGAGATGTAGTATGAAAGCCAGAAAGAGAAAGGGCGGAGCACCGTAAGCACCGACTGTACAATGCAAATCATTAAATGGTGACATGATGCATGAGAATCTGCACAGCTCAGGCAGCCGTCATGTTGTAAACAAATGTCTCGACCCATGCACAGCCCGAATGCATGGCACAAAAATGACTAGAACCTGCACAAACAAAATGATACTGGAGTGTTGTTTTCAAGGCTAACGTTCGTGCACATTCCAGCCCGCAACCATCAGCCAACTTATCACTTACGGCACAGATATGTGGAGTGAGTTAATGGTCATCAAAAGGCAGCGTGGAGGAGGGAAGTTTAGCAATCAGCTTGGGAATAGTGGGAGAGACTGCAAGTAAAGGAGCCAAGCAGTGATAACAGTGTGAGGCAGCAAGGACAGGTCCCTCCTGTCACAGGCTGCTGCTGATGTTGAACAGCTGTGGAGAGAGGGGCTCACTTCCTGCGTCCTAACCCACAAAATACACTTTCAGAGGGGAAGAGATGAGTCCAGTCAGCGCTGAACCCAAGACACTGATGGGGTCAGGCTTTTTTTTTTAGTGTTTGCATATGCACCCTCCATGCTGTGTTTCTCAATCCGTCTGCCTTTTCCTGTTGAGAAGAGGGAACTGAAACATGTTCTTTATCTTAGAACATCTCCTTGCTCAGCTGCAGAATGGCTCTCAGCAGAAGCCATGCTTAATGAGAATGTATTTTTCTTTTTGCCGTCTTTGTTCAGCGAGTCACTGCCCTAAATAACATCATTCAGTTTTAGTGCCTCATTAAACAGAGCAAAGGCCTGCCATGAATATATCTTAGAATTCATTAAAACTGACATTCTGTTTCAGAGTTATAACAAACAAACAACTTATGAGATCAGATTAACGGGATCAAAAATGTGTTGTTACTAACACATTTATACAAAATTGTTTGGCTAGAGTAACTTGCTGTGACTGAGCTGTGGTCCAATGCTATTTATATTTGTAAATGTTCAAAACCCTCATTACAATGGTTTTCTGAGGAATATCTCATCTCTTACCATCTAAATAAAGAGTTCAAGGTGGTGAGGTCATGGAACACATTCAATATGCAGGGGCAAAAGGAAGCTTGTCCAAGTAAAATGGTAAATGGACCTGTNNCCTCTGAGCCACAGCCACCCCAAATCAGTTGTATGCCTTAGTTTTATGAGATTTAAATAGTCATTATGAATACAACCATTGGCCTCATGTAGGGCATTAATGTTTTCTAATCTCTATGAGTAGAGGTTCTCAGACCTCCAGCTGTATTTCCACTTTGAATGGATGCGCTGTGGCAGTTTGTAGGAAGTGAAAAAAGCAAGGGCATGCAAAAAATTCTTCAAATAAAGTGTTTATCTGGTACACTCTTATACACTTATACACCCATACACTGTCTTAACCAGCAATGTCCTCAACTCATGGGAGGAATTACTGAATTTTAAGATGCAAACAATATAAATCACATACTGTATGTTTGTCTTTGTTTTCCAGAAGGATTCTCCATCCAAGCCATCTGTGGCTGAGCTGGCTGGAAGGTTCAAAGGTCATATTCTACCAATGCCCACCTCAAATGATGAGGTATTTCATTTATATATTACTGTATCCATAAAAAATATACAGAACCGTGTGGTTAGCTCCCTAGGAGAACAGTACTACAAATAGCTTGTGATTATATTTGCAATTTCTCCTCATTTCTGTTTGTAGTTACGATTTCGAAGAAAACCTCCATGTTCCCTGAAGTTACAAAATCCAAAAGATGATAACGAAGAATCAGATGTAAGTTATTTTGTTCCTCTACTAACCCATGTGCTACAAACAAAGACAATCAAGTCTGATTGATATACAAAGGTGGTCTCCTAAAAACAGAGTTGGATTTGTTTACTGTACATTTTCATTGCAACCTCACAATTTCAACACAGTACACAGTGCACTGTTGCCAAATCGACAATTTATCTATTTCTTCTTCGTCCTAAAACATTGGGAAAGTTATGTTTTGCGCTGCTGTTTCTTCCAGTGAAATTACTTCACAAACCACACAAACCTTTATATGCGTTATGTCAAAATGTCGAAAGCAGAACAAAAGTGCAAAAAGGCGTAAAATCACAAGCATGTAAGTTGTTTCATTTATTGAATACTATTTTATATATGTATATTGTATGTGTATTAATCTTAATACTTGCTGGAAAATGGGCTTGTATCACCATCATCAGTCTACTGTATAATGACAGTATATATACACGAAATGTTTTAAATGGGGGGTTGTCATTTTGTTAATTTTTCTTTTCATTAACTCTGGTTTGGCTGTGTTCTCTTGCAGAAAACTGTTGTCTCTCCAAATCCTTTTAAAATCAAGATGAAGAACTCCCCTATCATTGAGAAACTTCAGGTAAATGCACCTTGCAACATTTGAATGTTTTGTAAGGGAAATAGGAAACAAAATAAGTACTAGCTCACCAATGATGTGTTATTGTAGGATGTAGTATACAGGCAGAAGTTGTCAGGAGTTTGTATGGTCAGGAGACTATAGGAAGATATTTAAAGCATTACTGCCACCCACTGTTCAGTTGACACTGGTGCCTGAGCTGCTTGCATGCTGAGAAAAAGGGGAAGGGCTTGTCCCTGATGCCACAATCGGCTCAGATTAATGATCTAATGGGATCATGGGCCACCTAGGCTCTAGTTGAGGCTCTAGTCTTGTCACCACCGTTCCTTTAGATAGCAGTTCACACGGTGGGCAGCCATGGGACAAAAGGGCTGCCGCTTCTCCCTCTTCCTCTTCTCCCCAGTGCAGGTAGGATACTCTCCTCTGAACTTAAACAGTGGCTGGGGGACTAACTCGAGATTGTATGTACTTCAGATGTCAGAGTGAATATGACAGGTGTTGTTCTTAAAAATGTCATTATGTACTTCTAGCAGGTGAGCTTTCAAAGTGTATACCTCTATAATACTTATCATCACACCCTTTAAAGGTCATTTTTGAAACATTTTACAAACTGCTTTGTGACTAGACAAACAATCGCTTCTTAGTTTTTACTTTTTATCTATATATACCTTTATATTTTTAATGTTTAAAGTAATGGTGCTGTTCTTCTATCTATCTTTTCTACACTTACTTATATTTCCTTATGGAGTGACTCTCATGTTGAATTTAACCTGGCTCACTCTCTGAGACGATTATAGGTTGATTAATTAATAAAGTTTTATTAAAACGCAATGCACTAAAGAGATTATAGTGTCCAGGCTTCAGGATCTTCCTTCCCCCTGCAGGCCAATCTTGCTTTGTCACCCACTGCTTTGCTGCCTTCACCCAAGAGTCCTGAGACGAAGCTCCAGCCGGCACCGTTGTCCCCCACCACACCCCGCAGCCCGGTGAGCCCCCTGAGCCCCACCTTGCGGCCCTCACATCAGTCGAGTGAAGAAGAGGACGGCGTCAGCTTCAGCAACCCTCCTGAAGGCACCCCGCTGCCGAGCTTCAACAAGGTAAACATTTGGAATGTGCAAAGCTGCACATTAGCATGGACAAATAGATCTATTTGTTACATCTCCTTATAATGCAATTGGATTAGTTTTGCCGTATTACTGTAATCATGTTGAAGAGCGTGACTTTCAGAGTGACAAAAGGCCTAGCTCATACTCTTAATATATTTTTGCGGGCTTCTGAGTTCTGAGTCATTAAATGACAAACATGAGCCGCTGTCACATTGAGGACCCTGAAGTGTTTCTCACGCTATTCGCTAAGTGAGCTATGACGTCACAGCCAGGCACATGGTCCACGTCCCCGTTGACGTGTTTTCTCAGTGGGTGTTCTGCATCTTCTGTTTAAGCAGGCCTTGGATAAGCTGGAGCAAGATGTAGTGCATGAGAGCTGCTGGAGGGGGGATTGAAGATTTAATCCCCTTAGCCTAGTTAAGAGTCTCTAGGTACCATTTTGTGCAGTGCTCTCACACATATGCTGATTAGACTTGGACACTTACCAGGAATCATTTGATGATACAAATATTGATATTGAATATAGATTCTTAGCTGTCCTATAGATCTCAGTTGCCTTTTTTTTTTATATTTTGTTTAAAGACATGATGTAAATTCCCAGCTGACTCTTACCCATCATTTCTACACAGACTCGTGCGCGGCTATCATTCAAGAGGCGCCCGCCCACGAGACAGCACAGGAGGTCAGCTGGAGAGGAGGCGGGAGCCTTCGGGACAGCTCTGTCCCCATGTGAACTGTACAGCCCAAAAGAAAACGGGGACAAGGAGCAGGTTTTCGACAGCCCAGCAGAGGATAGCGGACAGCTGGCCAGTCTGAAGACAGCTGAAGAGAAGCACATGGACTGTGAAATAACAGAGGATGAGGTAGCAAAGAGTGACGCAGACAACAGGGATCCGAAGGAGGAACAGGAAGCAGAACAAGCCCAGAACTTGGAGAGTTTGAAAGAGGAACAGCAGGCTTCAGAGCCTTGCCCTGACAAGCAGACAGAGGGCGATGTTGACACAGAAGAGGGTCAGGAGGAGATGGCTCAGGAGGAACACCAAGAGGGAAATGGCCGGGTGTGAGCTGTGAATGTTTATGTAAGAAAGAAAAAGCAAATGTATGAATAACTTATTCAGTTTCTTAAGATAACCGAATAAGAGAAAAAATACTAATTACTAAAAGATTTGTTTTAAAGAAACCTGTTTTTAAATGTCTTGGTACCTGCTCTGTTTTAAGTCCCTCTGTCGCCCTCTCCTGGCCATCTATATAGAACAGGTCTATAAACACTGGAGGGTTATGAGAAGCAGCTGTTAAACGTGTTATTTGCATGTTCTCTGCACATGCAAATAAGCTGTTGATAATGTATACATTATCAGGCAGAGGAAATGTGTGTCATGTTGTACTGAGTCTGCATGACCAGACTCCTGTCTTTATGATAAATACTTTTTTTTTTCTTTGCTAAGAGTGCACTTCCATGTCCGAAGTCTCTGTCGTGTAAACAGGACTTTGGAAATACTGAACGCTGGGTTGACAAAAGGCAAAAATATTAGACTTCACATATATGTTAGCACACATAGAAAATGGTCTGACATACCAAATCACAATCACTTTAGGTTGAAATTATGTCATTTGCTTATTTAGTTTTCTTTTCATGTATGTTGGTCTACTTCTGCTTGTCTTTTATTTTGTATACTATTTTGTATACTACAAAATATTTTAAATCACAGAGCTAATATGGAGGGGCTCAGGTCCTCAGCAGTTATGCACAAAAAAGAAAATAAACAGGCTCCTTCTTAGGTAAGAAAAGAGTTGACATTGACATGTGTTTGGTCAAATGTTTGGGTAGGAACCAATATGAGTCAGTATTGATGGATTATAATTTTTGGTTGACCAATCAGTAAATACTACCTGTGTATCGTCTCCTGAGACAGATATTTGCCATGGTCAATGCTTAACACACTGGACAGGCTTCAGTCAGATGAGCACAAAAAAGTACGATTTTGTATTGTAAGGCTCTGCACACCTACGCAATACCACACAGGAGATTTAATAGTTTTCTCTCTTCTCAGCGCTGTGTCTGTATGTTGCTGAGCCCCTGTCACTGGAGCACCAGCAGAGAGATTCCAGCTTTTTTATGTCCTGACAGTTAGGCTGAACGAGTATTACCGCATCAAAAGAGCTGTTAGGTGTGTCTTAATACATAACGTTACCCATTTTGTAGAGATAGGCCCATTATCGAGCATTTTGAGGTAATCAACGTTGGCCGATGTCTGCGCTCACGAGGCTGCTGTGAACAACATCAGCGCTCCCCTTGTGAGTTCTGGGAAGGTGGTGAAAAAGTTGGTTTCGAGCCCTTTACTGTAACTTTAATGTATCCTGCTGTACACATACCGCTTAATTTCCTGTAGAATAGAAGTGAACTTTCTGTTTCAATATCTGCATATATATTGGCCGTCGGGAGCCCTGGTCTCTATCAGCATCGGTCGACCACTACCATATTGTTCTTTCAGTGGCAGCTGATTAAAAATGTTCATTTATTAGCTCTTATTTAAAATACAGAGTGGCTGGAATATTTGTTCAACACTGAATGGAGCATTTTGGTATATTTGCCATCAAATTCAAGAGATGCACATTTTTAAATAATTCAATATGCGCCTTGGTGGGGTTTATTTTAGTTTTGAAGTGAAATAAATCAGACTAGAATAAGTTTCTTACACATTCAGTGTTTTGATTTGTTTAATTTATGTTAAAGATCTCCCCTAACCCTAGACCCTGTTAGGGTGGGACAAATTGCACCTTGATAATTCTTATTAGTACATGGATTCACATATTTTTCCACTGTAGTTCTGTCCACTTTGAACCTGAGCAGAGGTCTGTTCAGAATAACCAAAGGCCAAAGGATATTCTATTAAACATTAAGCATATTCAATTATTTTTAAAGGAATAGCAAAGGAGTATTTATAAAATGACATTTCTTTAATATCACTATGTATGATCTGATTTTGTGCCTGTTCCTGAGGGCATTATTATGAAAACCTAGTAAAAGTTTTATTAAAGCAACAAGAATTGGTATTTTTTACAACTTGGTACCCCTGCAGTTTCACCACCGGCTCCAACCAGGACTACTCTACCTCAACTTTGTTTGACTGATTTACGTTTCCTTGTGGACAGAAAGCCTGTGGATTAAAGTAACCACAGACTGCTGCTAACTGTAGCTACCGTCACTGGTAGTTAGCTCTATATATATATATATCTATATATATATATAGATATATATATATAATATATAAAATTAACAGTAGCTACAGTAAACAGTGCAAATGGAGTGGAGTGCAAATGGAAGTAAAACAGTGCAAATGGACGTGCAATGTATCAGTCGTATATAAAGGCTAGCTAGTAGTAGGATATCACTACTTACTATAGATAACGTAGCGTTGCTAACTAATTAATTATAAAAATAACAGTTATCTACCCAGTAACACAGCTGCAAATGAGTGGATGCAAATGGAAGTAAACATACCGTCAAACTGCCGATGTGAAATATAATATAGAAATTGTACATGTCATTTATCTCATTGTCCTCCGCTGCCTTTACGAGAGCTGTTTCACAGCTCTGACTGGCCAGGCGGGACGAAAGAGTTTTTGAGTCAGTTAACAGCGGTTTAGGAACTGTTATTTTCCAAGCTACTGTAGCTTTCATATATCACTCGTGTGAGTGTCTCTTAGTTGATGACCCATCATTGGTGGTCTTTAATGTAGGTACGTAAAGTATCACGCACTTCTCGCAGGCGTTCAGGGCGCCAAGTGTAAATGAAAGAGCCACCGTCCTCCCTATTCCAAGTACGTGTGCCACCAAAAAAGATTTTAAAGTTGTTATTTTCAGGTAAAATAGCTGCACAATGTTAATTCATCCATGTTTTCAGTCAGTGACCTTTGTTGACCTCCACTGCTGACCATTCAGAGCTGCAGTAACCGCAACAATGGTATCTGTTCCCTGTCATTGGTAGGACTTAAATTAAATTAAAACTTTACTTTCATGGGCCATGTCAAGTAATTTATTAACTGACAACCCATGTTTTATTTTAACTGTAAGTTCAAAACAGAATAAAGTTAAAAAAAAAAAAAAAAAAAAGAAAAAAAAAACCTGGTGTAGGAGCTGTATACACTATAAAAAAGGTTACTAACTGTAAACAAATAGACATGGATCAAAATTTACAACTATGGCTGATTTTATTTACAGTCCTTGCAGCCATCAAACCTTTGGTTAAGTTAATATTTAACCACAATAAAATCCTGAGCCATAAATACTTGAGGTGGTTTGATCTTCAAACACCTTTGGATAGGCTACCTACAATAAATTGAAGTCAGTGTTTAACACTTAATATTCAGCCTGATAACGTCTCCCAACAGCATGTGAACCTCTGCAGCCTCCACCTATTGTCAAGTTGTGTCATGTTCAGGCGTCAGCAGTCGACGTTTCCTCCCCTGCTCCTTCACAGGACGACGCCTTCCGACGTGGGCTGCGCCGAAACTCTGAAGAAACTCACCTGTCAGGAAACAGGACGAGCTCCGAAGGAGAAGCCAGCGACCTCGTCTCAACCCAGCAACCTGCCGAAGGTCTGACAATGTGAACTCGCTGAGTGACCTGCTGTTGTTTTAAGGAGCTGCTGACTTTTTGAACCGCAGCTGGGACGTTTAGGGCCCCGCGGACAGTTTAGTTTCTTTAAACAAAGTTATAACTGTAAGGGACTTCCGGGTATGGAGTCAAACAGCTGGAGAAGAGCCAGCATGGACAACATAGAGCTGCTGCCGGTATCGACGAATGGGAACGATGGACGGGTGAGTTAATCGGGGTGAATAAGGGAGAGATTGTTAAGTGGCCTCCCCAGTGCCAGTTAGAGTAATACTAGTTATAATATAATACAAATAAAATGAGAGTGATGATAGAAAGTGATAATAATTAGACGCATCCTAGGCTATATACTGTTTTCAGTTAACATTAAAGCTGAAGCCAGTATTCGATTAATCAATTAGTTGACAGATAATTCATAAATGATAGCTGATTAATTAGTTTGAATCATTTTTTCAAGCAGAAATGTCAAACATTAGTAGAGTTTTTCTCAGGTTTTCGTTGTCTTATGTGATAGTAAATGATACTTTGGGGTTTGAGCAATGTGAAGCAACGCCTCAGGCTTTTGTAAACAGTGAAATTCCACAGTTTCTGCTTTTCTATAAACAAAACAACATGAATGATGAGATTTAATTGCAGCTCTGTGTAACATACAACATGATCAGTTGGCCCAAAAAAAATTCTCTGTGTAATATTACCCAGTATTTGCCTGCTCCTAGGTGTCAGCAGGTAATGGAGATGGTGTGCCCTCTAGGAACCCTGATGCAACAGAGAGAGATGCGTTGCTTACGGGACAGGTGGGTTTCCAATCGAGGTTGTGTTCTTGTGTATATGTGTTATATGGTTTTGTTCATGTTTACAGCCTGTTACAGAGATAACAATAACACAGCATGAATTTTGAATTTCTCTGGAAAACGCTGTGACAACAACTCATGTTGGTCACTTTCAGCATTCTGGGAAGTGAATGAATCAAGATGAATTATTCAATATACAGTGAAGGGAGGAAGTGACATAATGCCTGTTGTGTCTTTTACTCAGAGTACTGGTCAAAATGGGCAGATGGTGCCCGATGGCAATGCAGCAGAAGCTCAAAGGGATCTGGAAAATGCATGCACTCCGCATAAGGTATGAAGACTTTTAGTAAGACATGTTAGAAATGTGAGGTCTTTCGGGCATTTCCTCTTACACTTGGAATAAAGGAAGTGTAACTTCTGTGTTACCATGTGATAACTCACTTTCTTTTCCCACCCATCCCCTGCCTGGACACCAGATAAGATAAATAACTTAAATGGATACCTTAGTATTCAGAATTAGTTTTCTTGTTTCTCAGTGCTTGCCAATAATTAAAAGAATACTCTTCTTGTAACTTTTTATGCTCTGTTAGTAGTTTTTCTTTAATTATGTCTCATTAAAGTGATACTCCATCTTAGTATCAAACTTGAACCCCCATAGACTGTAGCCATGTCTTGACAAACAAAGCCATTTCATTATGCTTTCAGATTAGCGCCTTGAGCAGGATAAAGGGAGAGCTGAAGGAGGTCGTCTTCTGGAAAATCAGACTATGGATGGTCATCATCTTCATCTTCCTCCTCATCTGCGCTGTGATTATAATTTCGCTGGCTGTGTGCGCATGTAAGGTTTCATGATGAGGATTGTTGTACAATATATAATACTACATTTGTTAGAGATACGTGCATAGACATAGAGGAGTGAGAAGTCAGGAGTTCAAATTTATTTAAATGACTGATCATTTGAGGCAATTTATCCTATTTTACTACTAATTTCAGTACAGCAGTGACTTTTCCAGTTGTGAGGCTTTGACCCATTTTCTCTTCGAGCAGCGTTTTACAAGGACCCGGATGATGACTTTGACCCTTCATTGTTTAAAGTTCCTCGGTATTTCAACGGGAGCTTCCAACTGCCAAATCTGGTGTTCACGGAGGAACTTTCCAACCTTTCCACCAGTAAAAGCCAAGAACTCGCTGCTGATTTTCAAGAAAAGGTTTGGCCACTTATGACCTGTATTTCAAATAGCATGCTTAATAAATTCATCTTAATTTATTGTATTTATAACTCAATATATATACTGTATATATAACAGTGTATATATAACTGTAGAAGATGCTTTTGTAAACAATGTTTTTTCCTTTCTTTTGATATTGCATCAGTTGTCTCCTAGCAACTACACCTATATTCACATCATAATTAGAGAGCCAACTTGATGAATACAGAATAATGGCTTAATATATAACAAATGTGGGAAAGATGCAAAGAAGTGAGTAGTTATGTCTTTTAGGCATGGTTATTTTATTTACAGTGTATTAGCACATTGCATTACAAGTAACAACAGTGTGGTTTACATTAGACGACATACATTACCAAATAAATTATATGGGTATAAATAATAAAACAGAATATTTTAAAATGTTGTAATTTTTAAAACCTTTATTGAGTCTAAGTTACTCTTGGTTTCACTATAGTCTTATTTGGTGTGAAGTTCATGTCAACTTTCTCAACTGAGGCAGTTACGTATACCACAAGCTTCAAAAACGTGTTCATAGCTGCTGCCGCCAAGAGATGAAAGCACCCTGTAGCTGGTTTCAGCCCTCAACAGCAGAGTAGGGCTCACAGTGAAGTGAAAGTCTCAGCCAAAAACATGCATTTCACTTTCATCGTTTGCTTTTGCATGCCTCACCCTGCCCCATCCAGCTGGCTGACCTTTACAGATCCTCCCCTGCTCTGGGAAGATACTTCTCCAAAGCGGAGATCTCTGCTCTCAGGTAAACACACATCACACTCAGTGGCTTTGGACTACATTTCTCACCACTGCTACATAAAACCACAAAATGTAGCCCTTTGTCATTTGTACATTTCACAGGGAAAAATGTGTTGAGCTACAGAACTTCTGTTTTACTCTCCCCACAGAAACGGTCCAGTCATCGCTGACTACCAGCTGACATTTCTCATGCCTGAAGAAGAGCAGGATCAGCTGAGAAACTTTACTCTGAGCCGGGAAATGGTGTACAACGTGTTCAGACAGTTCCTATATGACCAGGAGTCAGATGAGTCAAAGCCAATGTACATAGATCCAGTTTCGCTGATCATGTTTTTAACACACTAATGCCAAACGTTCTCAAACAGATAGGACATCTGTACCTTGCTTTCTTTGTCATTTAAGACACTCAGCACACTTCTCTCACAGTGTGTGGTTGTTTGTAACGCATGATTTGTCACACCTCTGTGTGATTCTCCCATGAGTCTGTACAAATGTTGCATGATGCATCTTTACTGCAGAAACATGCATAACCACAGGCCCACAAACCCAAAGTGACTGTAGGTCATATGGATGGTCTCATTGTGTGCTTTGTTCAATAAGCTTTTAAGATGGTGCCTAATTAAACCAATCAACAGTGCAGTACATATCAGGTAAAATTGACATCTGCCTACTGTCAAACTGATTGGTAACTCCCAAGAGATTGGCAGCAAGAATCTAGGCTTCTGAAATATATATTTTATATATTGTGTTTTTCATTTTATTGTGTATTACTGTGCCTTCTTTAACTGCAGGTGCATTAAGTGTAAGAGTATTGGTATAAATGTATGTGCTGTAAGTATTTATATTCATTCCCTGACCTTCACTGTAATTTGTTTTTGTAAAATATACTTTATAACCATTTGTAAAAAAAACCAAAAAAAAAACGGTGGCTGTGTTTTTTTTATGGAAATACACATGTTGATATTTGTATATCCGTACCATTTTTTTCGGTCAGCAGACACGATTTGCAAATCAAAATTCATTAACTGTAAAATATTTGCCTTGAGAGCAACAAACATTGCAGGAGCTTTAGAGAACTGTGCAGGGAAATTAGCCTGCAATCATTTTGTAAGTGTAGGCTATACAAGCCTATGTAAAACTATATATGTTATACACAAAGAATCCATACTTTGTACAGTACATTTGTTTGTTGTGGTTGTTCAATATATACAACAGGACTCAGCTTTTGCCTTCTTTAACTGGCTGTATTTCTAATCATAGGGTTTAACAGTAGAGGGAGTGCCTGTCCCACATGCAAATGAACAGTAAATGTTTTTTTGTCTACATTGATTTTCTTCTTGAGTAGTGTTAGAAGCAGGTTGTTGCATTTAATAGCACAGGTGTTATATAACATTTCTATAAACTCAGTATGTCAGATTGCAGTCTGTTTCCTGGCAGCGATCGCATCAACGTGTCTGTCCTCCAGTAAGATCACAGTTGTGATTAATGACCGCCAAATATTAACAGTCACTCTATCACCAGATTGTTAATTAGCCGTCACTTCAGCTGGTTGCACTCGGTGAGACTTGATGGAAAGATTTGACGCTTGAGCCAACTAAGACACTAATTGCCAAGTAGTTTTGTTTATCAGTTCATTTTTGTGGTGAGTATAATGATTAAGGTTGTAAGTAATGGTTTGATCATGTAAGATACAATATGTAAGGCCTGTATTTTCTCAAATAAAGTATATTTTTGCAGTTACGGTATTTGTCACTGCTGAAACTGTGAAGTTCCTGTGTTTTTACAGTAATTTAGTCACAGTATAACTTTAGAGTCAGTCAACCGTCGTTTTACAGTGGACTCTGGAATAATCAAATACCAAAATATGAAGTAGGTTGGGAAAGAAATTATATATGTTTTGGGGTTTTATAGAGCAATACATTATCACTCAAATGACTATTTTGATCTATGTTTTGTTTTGTTTCACTGGAAGACAAGATGAAAGAAGATTTAACCCCACAACCAGCTGAGTTTTAGGGTTGTGAGTTACTATCCCTTTTAAAATGAAATATTATTGTGTATGATATTTCTTTTGTCCAGGGAAACGCATTTTCACGTGCAGTTCTGAAACATCCTGCATGACAGTCACGTGCTGGTCAGAAGGTCAAGTTTAAACAGCAGTGGGACCTAAGAGATTTCAACAGCTTATTACTGTACATAAAACAAAATCACTCCAGCTGCTCTTTGAAATCCTCAAATATTGCATGATAGAAGATAAACAAGAATATTCAGAATGATTCAGACTGGACAACTTAGTTGACTTAAGCTGCTTTTTAGTTTATTTAGGGCTCAGGGAAATCTTTTTCTGTCTTTTCTGCAGGTGTCTATCTCTGTTCCTTTGAGGTACACACTATTCTTAATCTGTTGGCAGCAGCAATCGTGCCATGGCACAGGGCAGCAGCATGGATCCTGGTTGTGTATACCTTATAAGCTAAATAAAAGCTGTCTGTGGTGTCTGCAGCCACTGGTGGTCGATTTTCTCAGACCTATTTGGAGAATTGTCAGTCGTCTAAAACCAGATTTACTATAATAAGCATTTTGAGCTATGATTGCCTGATTGGTTTAATCAGCACTTCACTAATCACAGGCCTTTATCGCGCCCATAATCCTCTAAAGTCAACAGTGCTGGTTAAACCTGTATTTATCCAGTCTGGCGTGTCTGTGCAAAGGTTTTATATATCTTTATTGACTCAAACGGTCAGAGGTAAAATCTACTCTGAATGCCATATGTATAAAGCTTGAAAAATGCTTTCTTATTTTAGGTTCAATATGAACAGTTTCAGTTTTCCAACATTAATAGCCCGCCTCCCTGCATGTTGATCACACAGTTATTTTGACCTGGTTTTGGGAACTAAGGCAGGACAGGTGTGAAAATGATTTAAATCTTTGCAAATGTAGACAAGGCAAGGGGATTTGTTTGTATTTAGAAGATTTCATTACAGGTAAACTCATATTATAGTAAAAGAAATACAAGAAAAACAACACTGACAACCACCCGCCCTGCAAAAGACATCTACATCCACAGACAAACACACACACACACCGGGTCTGGATCCTATTTTAGGTACAGTTAGAACACTGCAACCTGCTGACTGGAGAGGTTTGAATGGATTGTAGTCACTGAGTAGGTAAAAAATGTACTGTGTGGAAAATAAGTCAATTTTTAATTCCTTCATGTATGTATTTTTCTTTCCAAGGTACGGTATGATCTGGTTATTGCTTACGCTGTTGTTAACATACCAGGAAATCTAAGTGCAACATGCTTAGAGCAGGGGTTCCCAAACATTTACATGCCAAGGCCTCCTAGCATTGTCTTACAGCCGGGGCCCTCCTTTTGCAAGATAACAGATAAATTATGTTTTGACTAGAAGGCAATAAGAAATATGGGCATAGAAAATAAGATTTCAATATCTTAAATATTATTATATTTATAATCATTATTCTAAATAATATTTTATAATAATAGACATAATATAATAATAATTTGCTGAAGATAAACTTTTTTGTGGTTTTAGCTTTTATGTAATCTTTTGTCCCAAACTTGCAAACAGACACAAAATCGTAGTATGTGCAGTGTTACACACTCTCCTGAAGCCTGTCTGACCTGAGCACCAGCAGCAACCCTAATAAATACTGTATTAAGCCATAAAAACTATAACATTTGGGTTCCTTTACATCTTTAAAGCGCATATGCCATTCTTTAAACCAGAGTAACACTAGAAATGACTTCAGCATTTATAAGCACAAAATTTAAAAAATCAAAATTATTAGCTTTTAAATGTTACATGTTTCCTATATCCTTATACTATGTATGTCTTTATTTCTAATAATAACTTTCATGTGATGTCTCATTAGGGGCTTCATGTGTTTCTTGTAGTTTAAAAATATCCCCTAGTCTGTTCATGTTTAAAAAGAGGATAAGTTGTTTCCAAGAGGAATTTCCTTGGTTAATTCCTTGAGGAATGCCGGATGTGTGAGTGGGTGGACAGCTATGTGGGTAAATTTAGATTATTTATTAATTTGCACACATTAAGGTATGTGACTATGCAGGTGAGAATACAACATAATGGTAAGAATGGAAATATCTCACTGAAGGGTAAAGTAAAAACTGTACACAAAAAAAAAAAGATAAGAAAAAATACTGGAATAGAAATATGGGAAAATCAAAAAATGCAACTTCCTGTCCTCCAGCTCTATAGTAGATGTGGACCGTCATGTCTTCAATTAAACCCCTTACTCTAAGAGCCAAGACTTTAAACCTGAGGGGGCTTCCTTCGTTGCACATTCGAGTCCCATCTCCCAGACTATTAGCAACCAGCCCCACTGCAGCCAAAGAGCATGCAATCTCCTGAGGTTCTTGGAAGACTTCTGCTATTATCCCATTAAAGGGTTATCTCTGCTTTTGGCTGTGCCAGGACTTAAAGATTAAGGTGGTCGTTGCATGAGTTCTCAGTCAGACCTCATTGCTGCCTGTGCTCTGTATGCACACTTTACACTCTCCTCCTTCTTCACTGGCTCTCTGCAGGATTCTGGGCAAAATCAAAACTCTGGAGGAATAATGGGCGCCAACTTCTCTAGCCTGGATGATATCCTGGAGGAGGACATGCACCACTGGTACACCAAATTCATGAAGGAGTCGCCTTCAGGGCTCATAACGCTCTTTGAGCTCAAGACTATCCTTGAAATGAACGGTATGACAGAGGAGGCCAGCAGCTATGTGGACCAGGTCTTTTTCACCTTTGACATGGATGGGGTAAGGAAACACCAACAACAGATTTCTCCTTCCCTGCTCAGGAAAAATAATAGATTGTGTGGTTCCCTCAAAGTCCGCTCAGTCTGTTAACAAATTGCCAACTTATGAGACAGTTGCACGGTGTATTCCCGATGCATGCACCTTGTTGAAAAAAATCAGTTTTCTAGTATCATATTAGCAAACTTGGCAGTGGGAAATACGATGCTCGTTGCATTATTTCAAATGGTTTTACAAGAAGAATGTACCATTTTAAAATGACTGTTCAGAGATTACAGAGATCTCTGATGTTTTAAGAGGGATCAACTTAGGTTAAACTCTTCTTTACCCTGCGAGTCCTGAACTCTTTCACAAAGCTTAGGACAAAAGGTCATTGTCATCAAATTGTACATTAGAAGTAAACAATTTACAGTATCTGTAGATATCTGCTATAGTTTCCCCAGAACTGCCCCCTGTATAGCATGATCAAATGCAAAATGATGCAATTGTTATTTTGAAAATCTTAAGTGAAATAATAAATCTTGGTGGATGGATTCAGTCTTTTCCATAACTGTATCTTTTATGTGCCCTTTTGCAGGATGGCTATATAGACTTTGTCGAATACATTGCAGCAATAAGTTTATTACTGAAAGGAGAAATTAACCAGAAACTAAAGTGGTACTTCAAACTCTTTGATCAAGACGGAAATGGGAAAATCGACAAGGACGAAATGGAGACTATATTTAAGGTGCATTTTATTTTCTTTGAATGTTTTATCATTTGAGTTTTACAGAACTAAGGAAGTGAGCAGCACATATTGATGCAATTGTTATTTTGAAATTGCTTACGCAATTCCTGAATCACAATGCTTAGCTGCTCTACTCTGAAAGAGTAGACATGGGTTTAACTGGCAATGAACTGGGCATAACACCTAATCCAGGGGGCTTCTTATCTAACCACAAGTCTAAATATGGCCCTGCCTGTAACCTAATTCACCCACTAAAGATGTCATACAGTAATCACCCTACTGATTACATGACACATATTCAACTTGTCAACACTATATGTATAACTGTATAATTCATTAATAACTGTTCAGGTTGCTATATATCATGGTTGTAGTAGAAGTAATAGCAGTAGTTGCTATTGTATAGTAGTGGGTGTATTAGAACCAGTACACAGTTGTCTTTTTAAAATATTAGTTGTACATACATCCATTACTTATTAATGCATTCAGTAGTTGAATGAGAAAAGGCACTGTGATTTATTTAGATGGCAGGCCTTTGCAATTGTTTGTTTAACTAACAATTCACTGTGTAAACTCTTCGATCAGGCTATTCAAGATATCACCAGAAGTTACGACATCCCTCCAGATGACATTGTGACTCTCATATATGAGAAGATTGATGTCAACGGAGAAGGTAAGGGTCATCTTATCAATCCAGGACTAATGTAACAATATAATGATTTATCAGCTCTGAAAATAACAGTGCTCTTGGTTAGAAATAATGTCACCATCACGTGTATAGACAAGTGAAATATTGCATGAATATGAAGAATCAATAAACACTAATTTCCTAGTATAGAATTTGTTATTTTCAAACAATAATCTCTATTATGACTATTAAAAATGGGTAGATTTCAATATTTGCTACTTGTCTCCTCAGGTGAGCTGACGTTGGAGGAGTTCATCAGTGGAGCCAAGGATCATCCCGACATCATGGATATGCTCACCAAGATGATGGATCTTACCAACGTCCTGGAAATCATTGTCAGAGGTCAACGGAAGAAAGCTGAATGAGTGATAAACACGCTGGATCATGTGGAAAATCCTTTTTGGTGGATTTTCAGAACGTTGAGGAGTGTATGTGCTTGATTGGTGAAGAGCAGAGTCCCATCTCAAACTGCACAGAATGAACTGAATGAACTGACTGAGCAGTCCCATGAAGATGACGAAGATGAACTCTGTGTATGACGCCTGAGAAAAGCAAAGAATTTGTCCTCCTTCCTCTGCTTGTGCTCTTACATTACTTGGCCCTTCAGTTTTGTTAAGGTTTACAACACTTCAAATCGCTTTGATTTACTTAATAAACAGCTTATTGAGCTGGAAATATTGTATGGGACTTTTAGTCTGCAGAACTGTCCGGCACAACGTGAAAAGCAGAGTGGGTTACTTCATCTCTAGTCTGGTTCACAGGAAGTAGGCTGTGGGTGTAAGCCTGCCATTGACCTACTAGTTCAGTCGGTATTCCCCTATACTTCCAATATCTTATGACACTATTTTGCAAGAGGCACCATCACTGCATCTTGGGGTTAGCGCTGCCCAATATGATGTGATTGATTAAAAAAATACAAACACACCAGACAGTTTTTCCCCTATGCCAGAATAATAATGGGTTCAGCCAGACCTTTCTCCAGCACTGGCACAGCGCTAAAACAAAGTGTGGAGATAGGTCTGGCTATGCAAGACTACTTCATCCCAAAATGACTTCCACAGCTTTGGAATCATGTTTTATTCATTTGAAAAGATTAATTTATAAATAATTTTTAACAATAATTTATAATTGAATGTATTGAATTCACATTTGAATATGTATTAGTCATGTAAAGACAACTGCCAAACCCTTTGGGAATTTCTTACAAAATGTTCTTACAGAAGGTCAATTCCTATGCAATCTATGTAATTATTACAGTATTTGGTTGTTGACATGATAACGCTCAATGGTTATCATCTTAAACACTAAGTGAGATTGTTTGTTCTTTGTTTTATAAGGTTCTATAAATAAGGTGTTAAGGTTTATAAAATATAAAGTTCTTGTAAAATGTGCATGAAAACTACACTGTTGCTTGTAGAAAAACTGGATGCTAACTGAATATCCATGTAGTAACTGAATGTAAAAATATTTGAGTGAAATGTGATGTTCTAGTAGGATTTACAATAATTAAGGTTACAATGTTGCCTTAAAAAACAATACAATGTTTTTGTTAAAAACTGTTTCTTTCATTTTGAAGAAAATATTACACTGCATATATGTGCAGGACAGATAGAGAAATGGAATTTCAATTTACATGTTTCAAGGGAGTAACAACTTTGTTGATACATTTTATTCCTTTATTGACTTATAGTCCAAAGAGAGGGACAGCATGCTTAAAGGTTGTAAACTGTTCTGTTAAGCAGGCAAAAGGATACAAAGATTTTCTAACTATTGTTTTTTATATAATCTGGTCAAATTCATCACTCTCTTGTTCACTTTAGCAGCTGAACTCCACTACAATGTGAATATAAACATAAAATAATTTTCCTACCGATCCCAAGTGCAGCTATCATATTCTACACAATAGTCTTTCTAAGTGACACAAACTGGTATTTCATGTTCATGGTGGTGCTTGGCACCTCCTCTGAGGTAGTCTGCCAAGGGACAGACTGTCTGTAAAGCTTTCATTTCCATTTCTGCAGAAAATTCCACAGCTCGTCACACACATGAAAGAACATTGTAATCAATCGTCATTGAGTTTCGAGGGGTACCAGACCCATCTGGATCCTGATAATCCAATGTGAGTTTCCTTCATTTTTGTGATTATATCAGGTCCATAATAAATCTTAATGTTCATATTCTCTTTTGCCTTTGCAATACTATGTGCAAAACAGACATCAGAAGAGCCGGGGGTTCAAGTGCACAAGATAACCTGCAAATCTAAACACAACCTGCAAATCTAAACACAGCTGACCTTGGTATATCATTATGGTTAATCCCTCAGTTAATTTACAAATTAATGTCAAACCATGTTATCCCTTTATACAGACATCATTGAAACATAATTGTCTGTCCTGGTTAAAAATCTGACAGAGGTTCATTTTGGTTTATACTGGTTTTGACATTGTTATGACCTCAGAGAAACTCAGGTTGTGTAAATCAAATAAAGATAAGGCTTTGACTCCACATAGCACTCAAAACGTCCCTAAATCTATCGGATGATTCAATTGCATAACTGCAGTGATCAACCCACCTGTGCTCATCATATAAATTGACCACAATCTGCTCTCATGCCTTTGCACTGCACACTGCTTCCTACTGTCAGCCACCACAGCACAGGAACAGTCGACCACATCCAACTGGAACCATGCAGTCTGCCGAGGCCAAATTCAACAGAAACAGCCTGCTCTTGGCTCTGAGACAATACAGCTCAGTTGTGAGGGACATGGAGCAGACCATTCTGCTGCCGAGCCTGCTGCGAGACGTGCCCACCGATGAGGTATGGGACTGTGACTCAACAGAGGAGTCCGGCTGTGACCTGTATGGCAACTACGAGATGCTCAAGGCCATTAGAAACACAATGGAGAGCGGCATGGTTTCCCTAGATGACTACAACAACATGGAGCCTCTCTTGGATACGGATCCTGAAGCTCTCTTCCGCTTCCACCTGAGAGGACTGTTTTCTGTGATGAGTGACCTCACCAAGAAGACTCAGAGCCTTACTGAGAAATATATGGACATCATTGGAGTTGCAAATTAGAAAACATGCAAGATATGTGGACATCGAGAAAAACATCAGGTGTTTTTGAAAATGCTGTATACGTAAAAAAGTCACCTGAACATCTCAAGTGTTTAACAGTTTACAATCAGTGACCCTAAGCTTCTAACTCAATTAATGAGGAATAAACATGCCTTGTTAAAACTGAACAGTCTCTTCTTGATTTATGTCCAAATGCACAACCTTAAAGAGAATCATGCTCATTGTTTGGACTAATCAGGAACATTTCACTCAGAAAATGTTTAATTTGGGTATTTTCTTTATTTACATATCTATATTTAACAATAAATGACAGAAATGTTCACAAAAACACCACTCAAGACAGGTGGTAGTCTGCAAATGTTTTCTCTCTTCCTCACTCTTCCGTCTTCCAACAGCCATGACACTTAGCGTACAGGATAGAAAGGCTCGACAATCTCTGCGAATGTCTTTTTTTCTGGTGAGATAAAAGAAACAGAAACAATTTGATATCACACATACATACATACATAAATCCCTCTGTGAAGACTTAGGAATGTCCTACATTAACACTGCACGTTATGGCACAAACCACTCAGCATGGGGTTTCATACCCTCATACTGACCATGTTTTTAAAATGTTGGCCTTTATTAGCATATGATTGCAGTTAGTGGTGGTAAAATGAATGAAAATACATTAATAAACATAGAAAAACATGTAACAGACTAACAGACTAACAAAGTAATAAAAACACATAATCACATAATATATATATATATATATATATATATACACACACGCACACACACACACAAGCACAGCAGTGTTGGTTTGTCTGTTAGAGCAAAGACAGTGAAAATGCACTTACCCTTGGCTGCAAATTCCTCAGGGTGGAGTTTGACATACCCATTCATATCTCTATCATGCTTGGCATAAATGTAATTTTCATATTTTGTAAGGTGGTAGCCGATGAACCAACCAACTGATGCCATCAGGACTTGTCGATGAACACCTAAAAAAAAGGAACATAGCACAAATTATATTTTTGTGTTTTAAGCACAAAACAGGGGCAACAGCTGTAATGTTTTGATAAAAGTGTGGCAAAACAGCATTGTAATGAATTACTGTAGTGCTGCAGAGGTTCCCTATACGACAAATCTTGTTCTCCAGATTTACAGACCCCCACAAATGTCACATCATCGTGTTTTTAATTGTTTTCTTTTTTAGGGAAAATTTAATTTGTGATGCAAAAATGGTCATGCCCACATAATTGTGAATATTTGTCAAAATAATCACAATATGATGTTTTTACAATATGATGCAGCCCTACTTTGGACAAAAAGCACAAATAAAGGCTTTCACTGTCCTTATGTTGAACCAGTTTAATTTAGGTCTTTTTACTAAAGCTACCTGGTACTGACATTAAATCCAAAGCTGAAATAAACTTTATCAGATTAAGTGCACAACTTGAATCAAGCTCCAAAAGTCAGACCGTAGAAAGGTTGCTGGTGAGTTTGTCGTCCATTTAGATATTACTACTCACTCATCACTGTTCTAACGTCAGTCTGCAGGATATGAACCTAGAAACTGCTTAACTGTGAGCATGTAAACTATTTACCAGCTTTTGTTGAGTGAATTAAAGTCCAGTTAACGTTAACCACACACACTCAGCCATCACAACAAGTCACTGCTCCGCTTTGACACACAGCATGTTAACTCTTAATGCAACACGTCAGCTCAGGGGGGTTTTTTTTGGGGCGTTTTATGCTTAAATGTTGTATACACTCAGAGGAAGCTGCACCTCGGTGGACAGCCGGAAAGAACAGCTACCAGACGCGCTAACCTGCTTTGAGCGGCGGCCTGTGGTTGATGGCGTTATGAAGCATCGCGGAGCACCAGCCTGCAGCGGACAGCCACACCGAGCTCCTGTTCACGACTGCCGGCGGAGGGAGACACTTCCCCTCGTCTGGTAAGAACCCCATGGCGACAAACCACCCGTTCAATGTGGATATTTAATCGACCTCCTCCCGGCTGCCTGCGTTCACTGCCCCGCTATCACCTCTCGTAGGAAGTCAAGGGCACTGTGTGCAACCGAGTGATATGTCCGGGCACAGCAAATGGAAACCGCTTCCGTTCCGTATGTTCTGTTTCCTAGCAACCTGCTGCAGACGGTAAAACTTTATAATTAAAGATTACTTTGGATCACGTTAGTTGCACTGATTTGATTTTGTTATAGCTAAAAATGCATACGCATAACACTCTTATGCAAACACGTTAAAGACGGTCGAGGTAAAGATTAGTTTCCGCTATAACGTCAGCTGTTATACGTTATACTGTTCATTTTATATATTATATATATATAACTTACATGCTACTTTATATCTTATCTTATTTTTGATTCTGTTCTTAAGGGCAGGGTTTTTAATTTTAGTTTAATGGATGTTTAATGTATGTTTGTATTTGTGTAATGCTACTGATGCTTGAATTTCCCCTCGGGATAAATAAAGGTATCTATCGTATCTATCTATCTATCATCTGTATTCTATCATATCCTATCTATCTCTTAGTAACGTTAGCTATTACTATTAGTGTGATAACGTTGTTCTTGTCCCTTGTGTCCTAGTAACAGTCATAATAAACTTACAAAAGCTGCAAAATGCCGGTATGATCCTTTAGTAATGTTAAGTAAAACATCCTATTATATAATAGAAAGTTATGAGCTGATCAGTTGTGAGCTTATCTGTCATCACATTGCACATTTATTTATGTTTTACACAGCTGACAGATTAATAAAGTTACAGACTAAAAAAAAGGTATTCTCTTTGAAATGCAGTGGAATATATGCATAACATTTATCAACGGAGGAATACTTAAAGCTGCAGTAGGTT